GCTCTTCTTATTACTCATCACGTTGATGCTGTTCTGACAGGTGGGAGGTGGTGTCTCGCTCGCTGTAGGTTTCGTTTCCCTAGCGATTAGCGACGTCGAACATTTTTTATGTGCTTGTTGGCCGTTTGTACACTTTCTTATTCAAGTCCTTGGTTCGTTTTCCAGTTGGATTGTTGTGCTGTTGCGTTTTAGGGGTTCTCTATGCATCCAGGAGCCACATCCCTTACCAGATACACGATTTGCAGATAGCTTTCCCCCTTCTGTGAGCTGCGTTTTCGCTCTGTTGATAGTCTCTTGAGAGACATTTTTTGATTTTCATGAAGTCCAGTTTGTTTTTTCTCTTGTTCCTGTGCCTTTGGCGTCACATCCAAGAAAGCATCACCAAGTCCAATGTTGTGAAGCTTTTGTCCTGTTTTCTCCTTAGTTGTATGTCTTATATTTAGGTCCTTGATGCATTTTGAGTTAATTTTTGTACGTGGTCCAACGTACAAAAGGGTCCAGCTTCGTTCTTTGCATGTGGGTGTCCAGCCTTTGTTGAGCCTGTCCTTCCCCCACCGAATGGTCTTGGGGAAGGTTATTCGACCTTAGATTGCGGGTTCATCTCTCCCTCCTCCGACTCCTAACGTCCTTGCTGACCTGCTCCCGGGCTGTCTTGTTAGTCATCCCCCCGCCCCAGCATTTTCCGCCATCCTGCGTCTCCTGTCCCTCCCTCTCGCACTCCCAGGACCTGAGTCACCCCCGCAGAGGCAGACCCAGGGCTCCCCTGGCGGGCCATGTGCCTGCCTGCGGCCCCCGTCCTCACTGCCCACCACGCACGCCTGCCCCTCATGGCCTGTTGTCCAGAAGCTTTCTCCTGTGGGCAGTGGCGTCAGAGCCCCAAATGATCCGAAACTGCCTCCCCATGGCCCCTCGTCCAGGCCCGCTCTGGCTGCACTAGTTCTGTCTCCCCTTTGGAACTTCTGACACCGCGTTCGCTGCTTAAGATGCCCACTCGTAATTCCCTCTTACTTCCACTCCTTAAGTACGGGTCGGGCCCCACGTCCCCTGCGACATCTTTCTTGTTTCCAGGCCTGCGTGTGAGGCTGTCAGGGTCCCCCACCGCCTCATGCTGTGGGCTCCCCCAGTCTCCACCTGTGTGCTCTACCCAGGTCGTGGGTCCTGGCAGAAGGGGCTTTGTTTCCCAGGTGTTGTGTTGGGGGCCTGTGACATCACGTGTGTGTCTTTTTGTTCCAGGCTACTTCCGGGGGGCTGAAGTGGACATGGGTGAGGAGCAGGCCAGAGATGACGAGGACAGCGCTGGCACCGTCCTCCAGGTGGGTGGCCTGGGCTCGTGTGCTGAACTCTCAGCCTCTCCACTGCCAACTCTGGGCGTCGGCGGGTCTGGAGGGGAAGAGGTGCCATGAACGGGGACAGCAGCCGTCCGCCTGAGACTTGGGGGACCCCTCATCTGCAGGAGCAGGAGGCCTTGAAAAACAGGCCTCCTGGCCTGGGGCTGGGAGACTGGGGGCTGGGAGACTGGGCTCAGAGTCCTCGCTACTCGTCGCCACCCCAAGTCTGCCCCAGCCCACCTCCTGGCCGAGGGGTCGACATTGGGGTCCCCGCTGGGAGCCAGAGCTCAGCAAACAGAATTGGGAGTGTACAGTACATATTAGTAGGTTTTAAATATCGATTGCTTGTGGAATTAGTAGGATTTTAGGTATCGGATTAAATAGTTTATCAAAATTAATTTTACTTGTTTTAACGTGACTACCAGAGGATTTCAAGTTGCGGAGGCTCGCCATCGCGGCCCCTCACACTTCTGCTGGGCGGTGCTGCCTGGAGCGGGCTGCTGCCTCGTGCTATAGACAGTCCCCTTGGCTGAGGGGACAGCAGGGGGACGTCAGGGCGTGTCCTCATGCCTCTCGACTGGGTTCACGTCCTGGCCGCCTGGCCGGTGACTGACTGCGCCTCCATGGCATCCCTTTGTGCCACAGTTTGACTACGAGGCTGTTGCCAACAGGCTGTTTGAAATGGCCAGTCACCAGAGCACCCCCTCCCAGAACAGGAAGCGTCTCTACAAAGTGATCCGCAAGTGAGTACTTCTCTGAAGGCAGCTGGCCTGTCCTTCCCGCTGCCGCCCTTGGGGTTGCGTTCTCCCTCTCTCAAGTGCCCTCAGCCGGGCGGGAGGGCAGCCCACAGCTTTGGGGCTCAGGTCAAGGGGGGCATGACACCTGCCTGGGGCTGCCCTCTGTGTGAGTGACTGTCCCTCGCTCTTCCAGGTTGCAGGACCTCGCGGAAGGTGAGCCCCGGGCCG